TTCCAAATGTATTATTTACAATTTATTTAGTTATGACTCAAAGATTACTGCTTTTAGCCTGATTGATAGTGAAATTTTAAGACATAGTTTAAAACATAAGATAGTCATTTTTACATCAACACAGAACTTAACATTTTTGATAGGGACCCTTTTTTTCCCCAATAATTGTGATCAAGATACACTGAGTGGGACGTTTTACAGCTGAAAGATTAGCCTGACAGCGCACTCTGGTGGACAGACTATGTAATGCAGACACTGTTTCTAAGCATTTCTGTGCTGCATTTCTTGTTACAAATCAGCTAACAAGTTTTCAGACACAATTAATCTGCAGAAAGCTAATACTGATTACTTAGATGTAACGATAGTGAATTAACCTATATTTTAGTTCAATCATAAGATATAACTTACTGTTGATGTTTCACACAACAGAAACTTCCCAAGATCCCCTGCCTTACTGTGGCACTTTCTCCAGTATTACTCTTGTATCATCCTCACTATTGATGAATTCATGCAGTAGCTGAAATTTTCATGCTTCATTCAAACTATAAAATGAAAAAAGTTTTGATAAACCCAAAACACTGCTTAACCTAGTTCAAAAATATATCTTTAGACGGCTTTAAACTCCTCTGACAAACTATCATGAAGCCAACAAGCTTTAAGTTTACTAACAGTATGATATGCTAACTGGGAAGACCAGCAAATCTTCACATTTTAAAGCTGTGAAAGGAATATGTCGGCTGTCATTAACAGGCCCACAGACTCAGAGATCAATGCTTCATAACAAATACAATCAATGTAAAAACACATCGTTACAATGACTAGCTAATGTGGGGTGAAATATAACACACCTTTTAATATTCAAGTGTTTTTAGCGTTAGCTCTATCCTGGTGGTAACATTGCTGATTTTTCCTAATGATGACCACAGACTGGATAGCTCATTCACATTTAATTAACCAGCTCATCATTAAATCTTACGACACCTTAACAGCCAAGTTACTGTAATACTGCTATGTCATTGTAAGCAACACAGCTAGTCAGCTAACGATAGCATGCTAACCTAGCTTCCCTGGCAATCAAAGCCACCCCTGTCATATAACGTAGCTCTGCGGCTCATGTCAGCTCTCCAAAACAGTAAAACAGCGAGCTCTGAACGTTTTCCAGTCCTGTGTTAAAAGGAGAGACCGGCTTAACAGCGCAGCCTCGAAGCCGGCTTGGTAAGCTTACCCAGCCATTGTGAACTTCACCACGGCGAGCCTGGAGCCGGCGGCCGCTAGCTCCGGCTGGAAGTCCGGGTCACTGCCGATCACTTTAACACCGACCATGGTGCAGTTTGCGGCTGTGGTGGGAACTGGTTACCTAGGTGACGTTCAGGACAAGAAAGTGGGTAACCTAATAAGTAAAACGTGTTGTGTTTTTAGCTTTCTGTCAGAATGTTAGCTAACTAGCTATCCGGTCTCTGAGCCACACTACAGGTACAGTGAACTGATTCAGGATGTGGAATCCTGATTGGCCGACAGACAACAGGAAAGGCGGAGCTTTGTTCTTCTTCTGCGGCTTCTGGCAGTGTATGCTATGCTCTATGCACTTTACTTCCCTCTACAGGAGAGAGGGGTAAACAAAAAAAAACTATGAAATGCCATCTAAATTTAACAAAATATTAAATAAATAGATAAATAAATAATACCGCTTTGAAATAAATAAATAAATTTGATAATAAATATAAAAATATACACATAAATTTAAATATAAATATATAAGTAAGTAAATAAATAAATGAATAAATAAACAAGAAAGTAAATAAATAAATAGCTTTTTGGGAAATAAAAGTCTCCAGAAATAAAAAAAATGTGGAATTAAAAATTTTTAGAATGAAAAGCTATTTTTTAATTCATTTGTATAGGTGGTTTATGTATTTATTTACTCATTTATATATTTACATTTATTTATATATATTCATTTTGGGATTCATTTCAGAGCTGTATTTATTTATGTATGTATGTAACCTAATCTAACTATTATTTTTTATTTATTATCAACTGTTATTATTATTATTATTATTATCATTATTATCAAAATGAGCTAATGCACACATGAATTTCCCCTAGGGGATAAATAAAGTATCTATCTATCTATCTATCTATCTATCTATCTATCTATCTATCTATCTATCTATCTATCTATCTATCTACTTATTTAATATTGATGGCATTTCACAAAAAAATATGTTGGACTGCTACATTAGTGTCATTAGCAGGTACAATTTAAAAGAAAAAAAGAAAAAGAAAAAAAATAGAAATATCATTAATAGGGTCCGGTTGAGCTTTGGGTTTTCCATTGCAGAGTTTCATGTTTTTCCTCTTCATTTCAGACAGTTTATATTGTGGCCACCTGCAGTGCAAAACAGAATTCCCACAAACTATTTTTGTTGCAGAGGTTGGAGGTGTGAGGTTTTAGAAATTAGTAGTGCTGTTAGGCCTGTATTTAAAATGGCACAATAGAGATTTAGTATTGCCCTTCAACAAGAGTGGGGGCCTTGCAAAAAACAGATAAAAAAGAGTGGTCAAAATTGAAGCACCAGAGTTCAGGATATAATGGCTTTTAGCCCCTTGTATGGATCAAAATCCCAAAACATTGCAAACTACATTTCACATTATGCAACTTCATAAGTACTTTTTATGACTTTATGACTTTTTATTAGACTGTTACAGAAAAACAAAACAAAACAAAATTATATGTCAATTGCATGACATTGTATAACATATGGCTTTTTTTGTTTGAAGATGACTGTGAATGTTTATTTTACCTTTACTTATTTAAGTGTCACAAAATTGAAGGCAATGAAACTATCACATCACATTTACTCATGTTGCAGATGCTTTTATCCAAAGCAACTTACAAGTGAGAGACAACATTAAAGCAGTTTTCCATAAAGCCGCAATGTGAAATGTGTTTTTTAATTTATCATACCTGCATGTTTACCTAAAAATAATCAAATAAATGACACCTGCTGCAGTTTTCATTAATGCTGACATGGTGGAGTAACAACTTTTAAATTCCTGGGTGTCCACCTTTCATATGACCTGACCTGGACAGGAAACAGCACAGCACTGGTTTAAAAACGCACAGTACACACTTCACCGTCTGAGGTCAGTGAAGAAAGTAAACATCAACAAGGACTTGGAGGAGAGTATACTGGCATACTGTGTCCCAGTGTGGTACTCCAGCTGCAGCACTGCAGACAAAACAGCCCTTCAGCATGTTGTTGGGACGGACCAGAAAACCAGAGGGGTCCAGCTGTTGACTCTGGAGGAGATCTACAGCTCCAGGTGCATCCAGGAAGCAAAACTAATCCTCACCGCTCCAACACACTCCTGTTCACCTGTTCACCCTCCTGCCCTCTGAGAGGTGCTACAGTACCACCAGACTCAGGAACAGTTTCCACCCCAGAAAAGTCTATTATGTAAACCAGACAATTTAGAAATGTAAAACTGCAACAATACTGTGAACTCACAATATATTACAGACTTTAACCACCATACTCACTGTCATCCTCTGCTGAATATAAGTTCACATTGTTCTGAACACACACTCCTTATTTTGATGTTTAGCTCAGTCTACCAAGGCTGCACTGCCACTTTAAATGGTCTATGGACTATGTGCCATCTATGCTACTTATATCTGTATTTGTAGCTGTATGTTGTATAGTTATATACTGATATAGATTATTTCTTGTTGATCCCTTAAACTGAAGTTCATTTTTTGTCTTATTTTTTCTATGTAGCTTTGGCTGAGAGTGCACACTTGATTTCATTGGACCTATAGCTTATACGGTAACAGTAAAGGTATTGAATTGAACTGAACTGAATTGAAGAAACTGGGAACAAATTCATTGTTGAAATTGTAGCAGTTACACGGAGGACAGTAACGAAGTACCTTTACTTGAGAACTGTACTTAAGTGTATTGTTTAAGTAATTTATTTGACTTTTATTTTTAATCATGACTTTCACTCCACCACACAAGACAAATATTGTACTTTTGACTCCACTACATTTCTACAAAGTACTCTTACTTTGAAGCAGCTTTTAGTCAGCAATATGAATTTTCTTTTATATTGAAAAGTGTGATAGACCATAAAGTGTATTCATCACAGGAGAAAAAAACCAATCACAGCCAACTCCTCCACTGTCAATGAGATCATTTCTTCACCAGAGCACCATGCCCTTAAGTCCATGTTTGAAATTTTAAATATAAAGGAAGATTCCTTTTGACCAAACTTCATCACTGCCTAAAAAAAAAATATATATATATATGAAAAACGACAATAGCTCCTTTGGTTGATTCAATTGTGTTTTTATGGCAATTTCTAGAGGCTTTGAAGCATATCTGAGTCATTAGGTTCTGTAAATGTGGATCAATACAACAGTGTTGACATAAAAATGTACTTTTGACCTGGAAACACAATGTAAGCAAACTGACATTAAATATGTCTAACTCCCTGATGAAACCATGTCCCTCTACAGTGCATCTGGGGCCTAAACAGGAACCATCAGTGGCCCACCGAGTAAAAATAAGGTCTTTGATCACAGAGACTAAAACGAAGTTGTTAATGTTAATATGAGTTTTCCTACATTTTATTATTTTGCTTATTCTGTCTTATTCTATTTTAGCTTATATTTACCGTCTATTTCAAGTAGCTCTTAAATTTGTATACGCGTGTTTATACTTCCTTTTGTCTATTTTACATCTTGTCTTCTCATTAAACTTTCTTACACCAGTTTATTTGCAAAATGTAACCGCTCCATATGTGACACACACAAGGAAAACTACAGACCTGTCCTTGAAACCGATCACCTGGTTTAATCAAGAATTCAATTACATACCTGTACCTGCACACCACGTGACCAGAACACCTCCATGCCCACTTCCGCAGCCGCAGCCTCACTGAATGCCACGCGTAGTTTTTAACGGACTATTTATTGTTGTTTGAAGCTCTGGAGGCGTACGGACCGGTCCGGCAGGTTTGCGCGGGACACAGCAGGTGAGGCAGCGGGGGGGAAGAAGGGCGGGGGAGCCGCCGGAGCTCTTTACAAGCAGGAAGAAGGAAAACATGGTGCGGTGACAATACTCCCGGACACCAAGCGAGAATTAGGATTCATCTTTTTATACCAAGGACATCGGGTAAGTCCAGTTCAATACATAAATATAACCGTGTGTGTGTGTGTATGTGTGTGGTGTGTGATTTTCTTTGAGGTTTGTCGTTAATAAGTGTTTAAAACACCCAGAGCAGGATCAGGGTTTCACCTGGGAAGCCGCCCAGGTGAAACACCTCTCCTCTCCCCTGAGAGGAAAGGTGAGCTATTGTTTGTAGTTTTCTTTCTCTTTTTTTTTTTTTTTTCATTCTACAGAAATGTAGATTCAATCACTCTAACTGAGAATTCAGAACAGTCTCTTCACACTTTTTTTGTTGTTGTAGTTGCAGTAATTTTGCCCTCCTCCGTGTCAGGGCTCTGGCTCTTGTCTTGACTTTCAGTTTTACAGTCAAAAACTCCCGTAAGGTTTTCAGGTTTGACAATTTAATCCTACAAGATCCCTTAAAAGGTCTAAAATCCCACGATTGTCTGTCATGTCTAAACAAGAGTGAATTATAGTAGAAAATAATGACATTATTGACTTTCCAATGTACTGGTTTGGAAAGGTTTCTTATAGTTTGTCCAACCCATTTAGATCAGTAAATATTAGAAACAACCTGCAGCCTCTCTCAAACATTTTAAACAAAAACTGACTTTCTTCCATGATGCGGTATATCTTTAAAATACCAAACCATATACCATGTGTAGACACGAAGGGATATACAGAAAAGTAGTGTTTTGTAGATCTACAGCAGGTAGATCTACTTCATCTACGCCTATGTTGTTGAAGGTACCACATTTCCTGAAAGCTAAGGGCCCGGACATTTCCCTGAGCCATTGTCATTATGTATGTACACTACAATATGCCACCATATATTCAAAATGTTTATTTTGCCACATTGCAAAAGAAGCTTAATTATTAACTAACAAAATAAATAGGCCTTCTTTAAGTATTCGGGCCAAGCGGTTAATTCGATTTTTTTGTGAAACACAAGCTGCAACATTAATGAAAGTAAACGCAGTTTTCTACAACACATCATGTCAGCTATCTGGCATTGAATTTGGTTAATTCTGACATCTCGTACGAAGCTACATCACAGCGTTTTTAAGTGGGAAAAAAGAAGAGGTAAACAACAGAAGAGAGCAGAGAGAATGTTCAGGCTCAGGATGAACTGAACTTGCCCCGAGCATTTGATGCCGCACAAATTATAGTTGAAAGTTTGGAACATTTTGACAACAGACACTGCTGCTGCTGGTGAAGCTGTTTTTACCAACAAGGCTGCTGCGTTATCAGAGCCGCTCTGAGCTTTTATTTCACATCATTTCTTTCTTTTGGTTTATGTGTAGTGAAACAATTGATCGGCGGGGCCGGTCAGACTTGATTGACGGGCCGGAGTTGGCAACTACTGACTCGAGTCCCCCCCCCCCAGGATTGTAGCGCGTGGCTGAACTTTTCCATTAGATAATCAAGTCAAGTGTCATGCCATGATGACTAAGGGAAAAATAGCATATGTTTAAAAAAGATAATAGAGAAACATCAGCATCTGTGTTTTGTGTGATTGGAAAAAGTGAGTGTCAGTGTTTTGGTGTGATTGTTGCTTCAGCCTACTGGTTTCAGGGAAAACTTTGTCCTGTAACATCTGTGGGATGGATGGTTGGATGAGTGGATGGATGGATGGATGAGTGGGTGGATGGATGGATGGATGGAGCCTTGGAAGATGGGATGGAGGAAAATATTTTTAATTTCCCACTAAACTTGTACCTTTTTCCTACATAACTTTTGTGCTATTTGAGAAATTTTTGCTTGTACTCCCGCAGCAGCAACAATATGAATTCGGGCTGAAATCCTTCAGAATAAAAGCACCATCCCCGTTAAATTTGATTTATCAGAATACTTAACATTTGACAACATAAACAGACAAAATACAGACTATACTTTATCATCATATTATAATTTAAATAGAAAACAAAATGTCATCTCCAGTGGTTCCCTGCACAATGGGCCATAAGATGATTTAACAGGATAAAAAGCAGCAAACAAAACATAAGTTTCTATTACACAGAATCATGTTTGTTTTTTCCAGGCTTTCCTCTTCGTTTTATTCTTACGAATTAGTGGATAATACGACCTCTTTAGTGTTCTGAAGGTATTCACATGTAACAAAAAGTATAACGTGTTAGGTTGAACTGGTCAACACAGGTAGACTTAGCGTATACACCTGGTTTGCCAGCAGAAAATAAGTTGTGTGTCCATGATCCAATTTATATGTGATCATTGATAAATAAATCAATGTACAAAATTGTTGAAAAAGTAGATTTTTTTTTTTTTTCTCCAGTCAAAAATGCAGCCACCTCTCGGTGCACCGGAGGTGAATCTTTGATGGTACAAAGAGAGATTTTGGCTGCAGGATCACTTAACCATGTTACCATATGAAAACGTCACGTGTGTCCAACCCACCTGGATGTTTGAATTTGAGTCTTTTGAGTAGGGAAATGTTTGTCTTCTTATGGAAATGGTCGCCCTTGAAAGAATTGGTAGAAAATTTGAATTGTGACTTTAGAGGCAAATGGACTGATTCTGAAGCTGTAGCTGAGGTGAAGGCGTCATGGCAGCTGTTTTAAATCTTCTGAGTATTTCCCGGATGACATTTGTTTGTCTGTTTGGGGCTGGAGCTTTCTGTCGGTGTGCTAGTTTTTCTTCTTTCACCTGTCTTAAAAGTCTTGTTACGTCATCTATCTACTTTGTTTTTTTTTTTAACTTAATTTCTTTATTTTGTATGTTGTCAAATGATCTCAGTTTCTTCTTAATATCTCTTAATGATCTTCTTAAGTGTCAACTAAAAGTGGTTTGAAATAATTCAGTTATTCCCTGTGGAGTTTCCTCATATGACAATTTTTTATATTTTCAACACATGGCAGCCTTTTTGTTCCCTGCCTTTTGCTAGTGCACCATGGTTCCCAGCACATAACCACCACCAACTGTGGAATAGTGTGAAACAGAGAAATGATCTGGCGGCCAGTCTTTGAGATAAAAGCCAGTTTTATTTACTGTGGGCCTAGAAACATGAAACGTTAGCCAACTCTATCCCAGACAGCAAAATGAACCTTCTTATCCAACATATGCCGGAGTCCTCGGCCCGAGTTTGGCCCAGATACTTCCACATCTGGGCAGATGCCGGCTGTTATCCTCAGGTATTGACTGACAGATGGAAGATTTTCTGTGTGTGCGCCAGAATTGGTCCAAATGTGGAAGTAGCCTCTGACATTCATGATGTATACGGTCCGGATTCGGGCCGTGAAACCTGGCCTATACTGGGCTAGAAGAAAACACGCATGTGGCCCAAGTATGGTCCGGATTTCTTTAGGTCTGTTTCTCCTAAAATGATCTTATTAGCAGAACTGATCAAAGCATTAATGTAAGAGTGAAGTAAATCTTCTGTTCACTGCGACTCGGCAGAAATGCCCATAATTTCCCACCTTTTAAAAACCCATTAATTTATCCATTGATAATGATTAATGAAGGCTTTTTGTTTATTTGTAGTGATCCATAGCATCACTAGTGGTTAAGGCAAACTGGGAGTCGAACAGAATTTGCCTACATAGGCGGTGGTGTTCATGTATGTGCGGTTGTTGTTGGAGGAAGCCATTTCACTTTGTGTCATTTCTTGTGATTTCTGCTGAGCTGAAGGACCGCAGCTCATCGTCCATGGACCTCTAACTCTGGTGGTGTTGGTGCCTCGCTCAGGGGCTCTGGCAGCGTGGGATCACATGTTGCAGTAGCAGCTGGTGTCTCTGTGGACTGTCTGTCTGTCTGTCTTTGAATTCATTGTCTGGGCTCCAGCTGTGAGCGGAATACTGAAGAATCTCATCGAAGACTCGACTCATTAACCTTCATTAAGACACGCACACCCTTCTGACATTAACCAGCTCTGAAGCCATTAGTGGATTATTTCATTAGTTGATCAACAAGCAATTCATTTATGATTTTGATCAATTATTTGTTTAATCATTTGGCAAACATCCAGTTACAGCCCTAAGCTTTTGTTTGCTCAGGATTTTAAAACATGTTTCAACACATAAGTCAACACAAAAGTCAGCCAAAGACAAGAAAAGGAAGAATCTTTATTTACACTCATCTGGTGTGTCATCTGTTAATCCCAAATCCGTCTGTTAATATTCAGGTTAATACCAAAATGGACGTCATTAGTGGTGATTTTTGTGCAAAGTGAACATCCGTCAGTAAATATATATATAAAGTGTTTTTGTCGGTTATCTCCGACGCAATGATTATAAAAACTGTAGAAGTTTCTAAAATAATCAAAATCAGTATAAATACAATTGTAGTTTTGAATAACTTTAACACTATAAGGTCAAATTTTCATTTCTTATGCTCAGGTTCACCCACTTCTGTGACAGGCAACGGGACACGTTCACGTCACACTACCAAAATGAAATCGTGCAAATTGGATGAAGTATTTAGATCTGACACAAAGTTGAACATCATTCATTGAGACAGGAGAGGGAATAAATGCGGATGTTGCTGTATTGCCCAGCTCTGCCGGACACAGGTTGACCCTTTATTAGTCTGAGTTACCGACAGATTCCCCCCAGGTGCTGCAGACACCCGACTCTGTGTTAATCTGGCTGATAGCATCTGTCCTCGCCCGGCCGTGACACTCAGTCACTGACAGAAATACTTAACATTCCCTGCAGCCCAGACTTCCGTCACATCAGGAACTCATCGTGTGAAACGTCGAATAATACAAATATCATTCATGTTTCTTAAACCTACCAGCTCTTTCTGTGCAGGGTTTGTTTTCTGTTCTGCTAATCACTTTGTTAACACGTGTCGAAAAAACCTTTGGTTCTTGCTTCTGATCATCATAAATCAGTCCTTGTCTTTTTGAAAATGAATTTTCAGAAATTTAATATTTTGTCTGTTCTCCTAATAACTGGTTGACAAATTCCTCTAGATGTGGACTGATCAGATGTGAATTGTAATGATGCAGGAAATATCCAGGTCCCAGCCAAAATCTGCTGCCATTCCTC